CCCCCCCCCCAGTTCTTTGTGCTTTTCCTTATGTCCGTCATACAGATGCTGCTGTTTTTCAAGAAAACGTTCATCAATGCAACGAACTATTTCGTTAGGCTTCTTTCAGGTGTGTTCCAATGATCTATCTCACTTGGCTCGGTGACAGGGCATTGCCGATGCAAGACGTGCTAAATCGCTTGGCAATTGAATTATGACATGTACATTGCTCTTCGAATGCAAGTCAAGTCAGTAGTACGCTTTATATGAACCATGAATGTCTATGTGTTCAGTGCTTCACCCCGGGTGTGCTTCTCCCAACCCCCTCCCCCCTCCCAAAAACAGAATCAAATTGTATAAATGGAAGCTGTAAAAACAAGATACTGGAATCTGCAAAAGACATACTCTGTTCCTATATAACCATATCTAAGCTAGTTCTTGTTTTAAATCATCAGTCAGTTGTCCTCCCTGTCAGTCAACGTTGTGTGCGTGGGGTGGGGTGTGGTGGGTTACTGATATGGAAATGGAGCAACAAGGTTGTTTTTTGTACAATCTGTCACACGATGAAAATTGATTGCTCACTGTCCATTCAACTTTGCGACAAGCAAGGTATACATTTTAAGTAAATAATTGTATTGGTATTTGTATAAATTTTGCAAGCTGATAGGTGCTTACATTTCAGTTAAAAATTGTACACTGGTCGTCACACTGGAAAGAAACTATAGAAGTATAAACGAATTCAATAGGGTGTTTTATGAAAAAAATTAATGTCTCTAATGTTTGATTCATTCGATTAAAGATTAACGTAATTCATTTAGAACTCGTTCCTTGTTGGTCAAGATGCGAGCCAGATACAGTACGGTGGAGTTTTTATAAACGTTTATTCGGGAGGGTAGGTACCGACCGAGTGATCGAGTGGGAGCGACAAAATGTAAAGGATGGGTGGGGTCGTCGGCAGAAATTAAAGATGCACGGCATATTATCATCAATCCACGACAGATAGTTTCAAACTCCCGTTCCAATAGACTGAGAAACACTACGGGGGGGGGCAGTAAAGTAAACTAGGGAGAACGCATTGATTACCAAAGGAGAACAAAACGTGTTGGGGAGTGCGAAATTCTGATATTCCTAAGCTGAAAGGAGAGACGCCGAAGTTTTCCCATACAGTTCTGAATGTGTGTCGACCACCGAAGATTATTATCGATAGTAACACCCAGATATTTGGCTGAGGTCACTGTGGACCAAAGGTTGCTATTAAGGGTTACAGAGTCTGACGGGAATGTAGAGCGGGAAGAACTAAAAATGCACTCCAAGCACTTGGTTGTGTTAAGATTAAAGCCAGATTGGTTTGAAAACTGTTCGATTCGGGACAGATTTTCAGTGAAGGAAGAAAGTTCCGAAGAAGAAGAAACGGTCTGACATAAAACGACATCGTCGGTATATTTTTGGGATATGAGCAGGGTATGGAACTGAAAGATCAATAATGAATTAGAATTGGAAAAAAGGGTATCTGGTTATTGTTAAACGGATAAAGAAATCCAGCGTTAAGGCTGTTTACATCAACATCACTGTTCACGTTTTTCCTTTTTTGTCTACAGAGAAGACGAATTCCTTGCTACGGAATCCTTGTGTTTTTCGTTTCCAGGATTTTGGAAGCGAATGTCTTGTTTAAACCTTAAGTTAGAATAGTACTTTATTGCAGATGGATGGTGAGGTGTATAGGATCGTTCCTTTTGCGTTCGTAGTGAGTTCAAACGAGGAGATGCAATTTTGTCGTTGCAAACAAACAGCATTTCCATGGGACAGCAAAAATAGAAAATCGATTTCATCGTTTCGGTGAAAAAACTGACAGTTAAGAAGTGATGGACAAGAAGCAAACCAAGAATGGGCAACCGTTATGGAACGACAGAGAAGAGAAATGCGGGTTGATGAACAGCTACGGAGATGAAACCTTATCTGGTTTGATCGTATGAATGTTGGATATGCAGAGCGAGAGTGTCTTTGGTCTTGACAGGAGAACACAATGATCACTGGTAGCAGCTAGGGCTATTAGTTTAAGCGAAAACAAAGTGGGACGATTTGTGATTACCCGGTCAAGTATAGAGCTGCCTCTGGTAGGAGAATGAGACAAATCGGACAAGCCAAAAGAAAGCAGAGGGAAAATGCTTGTATGGTTGAAGTCACCAACAGCCAAATGAAGATTCCCATCTAAAATTGGAACCAAGAACGGGATGTAATAAAGAATGAAGATATATCTGATTGGGAACACGAAGGAGGTATATACACATTGGTAATAATTGTACTCCTATATTGGGAAAATTT